CGGAACAATTTTATTTGGTCTGGGAGGGGAGGCTGGGGCAGGCAGGGCTAGTGCCGGCCTGCGGGGGCTTTCCCGGACATCGGGTGTTCCTCCATTCGGGTTTAGAAGAAACACCCTCATTGATGAAGTCCCCACGCAAGGCAGGCAGCGTAGTGACCGCCAGGCAGCCTGGGGGAAGGCGGTGCGCCCTAGGCATGGCCGGGCCCCTTGGAGAGCAGGACCTGGATGTCGGGCTCGATGTCGATGGTGGGGAAGCGGCGGCTGTACCTGCGCACAGGCACACCATCGCGGCCCACCAGGAACTTCTCGAAGTTCCAAGAGATGTCGTTGCGGCACACGGGCGACCAGGTGATAAGCTTGGGGTCGGTCATGAGGGAGGTGGCATCGTCGCTGGGCGCCGGCAAGGCCTCCCGGAGGAAGGCAAAGAGCGGGTGTGCATTGGCGCCGTTCACCTCGCACTTCTCAAACAGGCAGAAGTTGGGCTCGAACCCGCCGCCAGGTCGGACGTGCTTGAGGGAATTCAGAATCTCTTCGTTCTTGCTGTTCTCCTGATGCCCAAACTGGTTGCACGGGAAACCTAGCACGACCAGGCCCCGGGGGCCGAGGCGCCGCTGCAGGTCGTTCATCTGGGTGTAGTCCCGGACCGTGGTGCCTCAGAGCGACGCCACGTTCTCGATGAGCAGCACCTTGCCCTGCAGCGAGGCCAGGCTCATGAGCTCCCCGCCGGCCAGCGGGCGCGCGGAGAAGGCGTACACGGAGCCCGAGGCGGCCGCGGCGAGCAGAGCGGCGCACATGACGCGGGGGTCGGAGAGGCGCGGAGAGGCGGAGGTCGGCAAGAGCAACGAAGGCGCTCCTCGAGCGGGACGCCTTTTAAGTAGCCGATGGCGGCCCCGTGACGCGGGCGCGGCCCCGGCTACCCCGCCCCATCCGGTGGGTGGACCTCGGCTCCTCCCTCCGCGGGAGACTAGGAAGGTGGGCGGGCGAGACCTCGCCGGACGTGGGCACCACCCAGACTGGGCGGAGCCGTGAAGCCTGCCTGCCGGCCTCAAAAACACAGGACGGGTCCCCGCCCACCCTCTTCCCCAACCGCCGCCCTACCCTAGCCAGGCCCTGGTGATCTATGGGACCTTCCTTCTCAGTGGTTCCTTGCTGGGTCCAGCCTGCGGGCCAGCCCAGAGTGGCAGCAGCTGCAGGCGCCCCTCCCGTCTGGTCTACCAGACCGTGCGCCCTGTACTGCCTGGGGCGGGGCTCTGGCCAGATGCGGGGAGCTGTTGAGACTTGTGAAGGTGTGGGTGGCGGTGGCTGCCAAGGCAAGCTTCCTGCTCGCCGAGGAGCTACTCCTGTTCTGAGAAGGGCAAGTCAGGGAAGCATGGGCGAGGCCCTGGCAATTCCGGCTTCAACGCAATTAACTCACTCCCCAGGCTCTGGGGCTGCCTTTCTGCTGCCAGTCGGATTTCGAACAGCTGCTGTCTAGGGGAGCCTCAGGCTCCGAGCTATCACCCACAGCCTGCGCCTGCTTGAGGAGATGGGGCCTCACCAGCACCAGGGCTGTGGCAAAGACTAAAGGCCGTTCTCCACCCACAGCTCAAGCCTGGAAGGGAAAGATCCTGCAAATGGACAGGGAGTAGGGAACCATGTCTACCTAAAGTGGCCCTCGGTGTCTTCAGTAAGGTACAGCCTTGAACGTGACACCGCTCTGTCCACATTCTTCAAAGGAACTGGGGAGTGGAGGCACTGGCCCTTCACTGCCTTAGGGAACCTCCCAGGGTGGCTGAATCCTTTCGTTCTCTCCAAGTCAGGAGGGAGCAACACAAACACCAGGATACAGGAAATTTAGAAAACTGCCTTTATTCTATTAGTAGTTGGAAAAAATTAACTTGGTACAGAAAAAAGGTTTAGTCAGCTGGAGAGGAGAAACCCAAGTGCCACCCAAGGCCTGGAGCTCCTCTGGGAGGGAAGCTGGATGCAGTGAGGAGAGGGGACACTGTGAACCGGAGCCAGGCCCTGCAGTCCAGTGAGACAGGCTAAGCCACCTTCCAAAGTGTCTAATTGCCTCAGGCGTGGAACCAAAATCCTATATACTTAGCCCAGCTCAGAGGTTGGGGTGGGGGGAGGTACTGAGAGGTTATTGCGGGGCTGAAAAGGGGTCACGTGGCCATCTTTTATCAGAGAAACTGACAAAATGGGAATTTTTAAAAGGAAGTTTCCATCTGACTTTATTTTCAAATACACTTTCTTTTTTTAAAAAACCAATACACTTTCTGCAGAGATGACAAATATCAGTATTAGGAAATCCAATTATACAAAAAATACTACATCTAGTCTGGGGTAGATATATTTATTTTTGGTAACATACATTAAGTGGCACTAATTACACAGTAACTATAAGGTAACTAACATGAAACCACAGAAGTGTAACTTTGCCACAGCTGCATGGACGTGGGCCTTTCTGGCTGAGCACATGCTCAGAAAGCTGGAGGTCCACTTCAGAGACATGCCCATGAAACCCATTTAGGAGGGAGAGTTCTGAAGTGGGGACTCACCAGAGGTCTCGCAGCTGACAGGTCAGAGGCAGGACATGTTAGTTATAAAGTAGTTACAGCCTAATTCACAAAATTACCACCTTTTTCTCTTTCTAGAAAGAAGCAAGAAGTTAAGAAAGTCCTTGGATTAGCGCCTGGTGTGTCAGGTGGGAGTGCACAGGAGGGCTGTCAGCACGGTGTCAGAGGGGCCCTGCTGGGCCAGAGGGGTTGGACGTCATTAATAATCATGTTTGGCTTCTAAATACTGGTAGCAAGATGACTTCTGATTTGTAATCTTAGGTAAATTATAGATAAATGAAAAAGGCCAGTAATCATACACTAAGATTAATAAACAGCACTTCAAAATTAACCGCATGGGGTTGTGCTTGCAGCGAGGTCTCACAAGACAAGGCACCCAGACTTCTTCTTCCCACGCCTGGCCTGCAAGGCCGCCCTCGTGGCCATCTCAAACACCTCCCTCACGCCGTCTTTGGTCTTTGCGGAACACTCCATGTAGCCAAAAGCACCAATCCTGTTGGCCATGTCCCTGCCTTCTTCGGGCTTGACCGGCTCCTGGGGAAGAGAAGAGTGTCTTCAGTTAACAGAATAGTCCCACGCCACTAGAAGACTTCTTTTCACACAGGCCCAGATGCGCACTCTGCCAGAGGGACTGTTGATTTGCAGTTACTCCTCCCCCCATGAGCACCTCTCTGGGAAGGACATACAAAGAAGGGGAGACTCACTAGAGAGGTCCAGGGCCAAATTCCTCAAATGCCCATATGGATCGAGCTGCATACCCCTCAAAATGTGTGTTCTAACCCTAACCTCTTATGTATGAGGTTCTACAAGGAGGCATCATGGATCGCTCCCACTACTTTTACGTTCTATTTCCCTCATGACCTTTAATAAAGCCTCTCCAGCACAATCAAGCCCACTTGGCAATGGGCTGCCTTTGATAAACAGATGGAGCACTAGTGTCCCGAGCCCACCTCTTCTGACCTGAGAGAGACTATTAGGCAGAAATGGGAAGGCTGATGCCACACGAAGGTCTTCCTGGTACCAGGAAACCAGCCAGGAACCACAATTGTTAGTTAAAGCCACCCACTGGCAGTATTTCCATGTAACAGCACTGGGGAACTAAGAAGGAATTGGGTACTGGGAAAGTGGGGTGCTGGGCTAAAGCCCACTAGGTGAAAGCAGTCTGGGGACTGGGCAACAGGTAGAAGCCCAGATTGCCACGAAGAGGCTACTGGTAGAATTCCAGCATCCCGGTGAGGGTTCTGAGGCAGTGAGGAGAGTAACCAAGGAAGGCTACAGTCTTCCAGAATGTATGTGGTGCCAGCAGGCAAATGCCAGAAATGTGGGTGCTAAACTAAATGTGTTTCTGGTGAGGCGTGAAAAAACAAACAAGTGATCAGACAATGGAGGAAGGGGGATGATTTCCATTCGGTGGCAAAGAACATGTCTAAATTATGTTCAAATGTCTGGTGGCAGACAGAACGTTTATGTGATAAACTTTAATATTTAAAGTTCTAAGTCTAGTAAGACTTATAAGCAAAATCTTAAAGGATCATGTCATTTTTCCTTGCTGCTTATACAAAAATTCAAGATTAAAGAGATGGACAACGTGGTTGAAGGGAGAGAGCAGACAGTGTAAGACATGAAAATAATAATATATAATTTATAAAGGGTTCACAAGGGTGGAACATAGAGGGAAAAAAAGAGGAGCTGATACCAAGGGCTCAAGTAGAAAGAAAATGTTCTGAAAACGATGGAAAAAAAGGGAGAAAATGATGATGGCAATATATGTACAAGTGTGTGCTTGACACAATTGATGTATGGATTGTTCTAAGAGCTGTACAACGCCCCAATAATATTAAAAAAAGAAAAAAAAAGATCTGGTGTGCCTTTAAAAGCCAGCTCTATCAATGCTTCCTCCCCTGACCATCATGATCCCAATTCTACCTCACAAATTCGGCTAGACCAGAGGACGTACACTGGTACAGAGAAGAGCTGGAAACACAGGGAATCTAGGACAGATAAACCCCTCAAGGCCAATATTGAGAATAGCCATACCAGGAGGGTAAGAGGAAGGTGGGGGAAGAAAGGGGGAACCGATCACAATGATCTACATATAACCCCTTCCATGGGGGATGGGCAACAGAAAAATGGGTGAAGGGAGACATCGGACAGTGTAAAACATGAAAACAACTTGACTGCTGATGCCGATTGCCAGTTTGCTCACACCTGATTTGTTACTCTGTGTGTAATAAACGCCTGCTGACGTCACCATTACAAAAAAAAAACATGAAAACAAACAAAACCAATAAAAAAATGAAAGCCAGCTCTTTTCTTAGGGTGATCCTCCTAAACTGAGAGGCGGACTGCTCTGTGAAGGCAGAGCTCCAGGGCCATGGGAAGCAGAGACCAGGACAACTTCCTGAATCCCCTTCATAGATCCTGATCTGGACCTTCAGATGCAGAGGCCCGAGTAGGAGAAGGTAGGGTGACACTCAGGTGAAGATCTTGGCACACTTCCCCCAAGGGAGGAGGAGATCACTCTGCTACTGTCTGAAGAGAGACTGTGTTTTTATAAAGGTAGGAAGTAGGCTGCTCTGTCTGTGGCTAGGCTTGCTGCTCTCAGGATTTCCTGATTCTCTATTGCCACTAATGTTATTTTTTGGCCTCACATCTGCCAAGGGAAGGTCTAAAGAGGAGAATCCCCAGAAGTTCCGTCTCTGGAGAACTCCCTGGCTGTGATGGCCCCTTCAGAGGCTGGCAGTCCTTGAGGACAAAGCAATGAGAGATGGATGGCAGAGGGACTTCTGGGTCTCTCTCAAAAACAGCCTGGCCTGTGATGGTTTCTGAAGGGGTCCCGTGAATCTCTCTCTACTCTCAGGGCCCAGGTACAACAGAGCCCTTGCCCCAGGCCATGCCTGCTTCATCTTGGCTAGCTCCCGCCTTGTGTGCTCATCATTCCGAAGATCCTTCTTGTTCCCAACCAAGATGATGGGCACATTGGGACAGAAATGCTTGACTTCCGGGGTCCATTTCTCTGGGATGTTTTCTGAAAGAAGCAAAATGCATGGTATTTGAGGATGCATGCAAATCAATTTTGAATCTCCGAGAGTTCTGGTTAAATTGAAAACAAACTTTCTTTGCTGCTTCACAAGTTTGTTGGTCATTTAATCAAGTGTGTTAGTTTCAAAATCACAGAGAAATGCAAAACGGTCCATATCAAGTTGGTGTTTCTGTGCTTAAGAGGTGGGGGCTCCATCAAAGCACTCCACAGCTGCTGAGCTCCTACAGAGGTGGGGCTCAGATGAAGCTTTATAGGAACAAGAGATTCAGAACCTACCTGGGGTGTGGAGGTGATTCATAATAGCACCGCCTGCCCCAAAGAAGGCGCCACCCAGGTCACTGCTGCCACCTGATTTTGGCCTTCACTTAGAGAAGGGACTCCACCGAGGAGCCACCACTGGCTTGAGGGCACTCACTCTCAAGCCACCTCACTCAATGGCACTCAACATGACCCCTCCCCCACCCTGTACTGACAGTTCAAATGGCTCCACAATGTTTTGAAAATGAGCCTCAACCAGTGATAGCTTCCTGGCAGCATGGGACCAACCTGGAAAAGCTGTGCGCACGGCTGCCCTGGACTAGGGGCCCTGGCTCAGCTCTCCCATCTTGGCTTCAAGGGTGATTTTATAAAACAGGGCTAACAACCAGTACCTACCACGTTGTATACAGTTATTTCAATAATTTAATGAATTACACGTCCACCAGGGCTATTCTCGTAAATGTTGCTGCTATTCAGGACAGTGTTTTAGAAAGAAACTAAACTGCTTACGCTCTGATTTCAAAACAAACCGCCAAGATGGCTAGGTTTCCTAGAACCTGGAAAGACACTCTAGCTTCTGGCTACAGGACCCATCAGGTAGTGAGGCTCCTGAGGGGAAAGGCCGGGAAACTCTTCTAATGCAGAGCTGCTCTGCAGCACATGGGACTGCCACCTGACCACTTCCTGCTCCACATCAGCTAGTTGATGTCACTCAGGTGACAACTCAAAACTCAGTCTCCTCCACAAAGTGGTTTCCAAAGTAGTGCTGGGTTCCTGCCCTCAGATTAAAAAACCCAAAAAAAACCAGTCACCTAATAAGTGAAGCCCGCTTCCGTCATTATCAACAGTTTCCAGTTCACCAGCCACATCGATCTCTGTGATGGATACATTGACAGATCACACCCCTCCTCCCCTGTTCAAACCTCCCAGCGATGACTCCCCGCGCCCCCCTTCCTCCCTCCCCACTGACCCCTGGGCAGTGGAACCCTGCACCTGACTCCTCTTCCAGCCGCATTGCATCGCCTCTGCTCAGGGCCTCTGTGCCTGCTAACGCCTGCCTGGACCCTTCTGGTGTTGGATAACCACCCTGGCCCTCTCTCCCACAGTGCCGACTACCCGATCTAAAACAACAAACTGCATGGGCCACTCAAACCCACCTCTCCTCTCCTACTTTCCTCTGAAACGCTCATCAGGACTGGATTTATTGTTGCTTTTCCTCCCCTGCCTGCCTGTAACGGGAACTCCTTACATAGGTGCTCAATATACATTTCCTGAATACACGAAAGTATTATACCAACAACCCCTCTCTGTTTCACGTAATTATGTGACACCAACTACCCACATCCTGTCTCACCCCCCACAGCCAGGCTGCATCAGAATCCCAGAAAGAGAAAGAAACCTTGACCATCCATGTCGAGGGCCAGCAAATCAAGCAGGGTCTGGAGTCTATTTCTATACATTTCACAGGGACACAGACACATCCAGTCACTGATCTTTTTCTATGGCTGATTTCAAGCTGCTGGAGCAAAATTTAGCAGTTATGGTAGAACAGTACAGTTGCAACAGAGATCAAGTGGCCCACAAAGGCCAAAACATTTCCTATTTGGACCTCTGTCGAATACAGGTCTGGACTGATCAGGGCTGAATAAAAAAACCAGTGAGTCAGCCAAGGCTCTGAAAAGTAACTTACTCCCACAGGCCTGGCTGGAAGAAGGGTTAAAACCAACGCACAGAGCTTCAATCCAGTTCTTTGTCTGGCTTGTTCTACATGCCCAGACTGGGGGCCAGCGTCCTTCATTCAGCTCAGCAGAGTCCATGGTGACCTACTACCACACAGTCCTGCAATCATCTCTAGTAGGGGACAGCACCAGCATTCTCCAGATCCTGGCCCCAGGCATGCTCGTCTCTCAGACAGAAGGCTCAAACTCTCTTTCCCTGTTTCTGTCCAACCTCTCCTTTCCTGCCTAAGGTCTGCCCTCTGAGGAAGGAGCCAGTAAGAAACAAATCATGGCTAACACAGAGGTTAAAGGTCAGAGATTTTGAAACCAAGAGACCTGTTCTTCAAAGAAAAAGTGAGGCTGAGGAGGAGGAACTTTTTGCTCTGAGCTTTTTTATCTCTTACAGTATTATATAGACGAGGTGGCACAGGGCGCAAAGCCTCCTCATCCTCACAAGACGTAAAGGACGTACATCCTGCAGGTGTGTGAGGTGGTCTAATGCACCAGGGCCCAGTCTCCAGGACTTTCCGCAGACCACTCTCAAACCCTCCCGACCCGAGGTCAGACCAGTTTGAAATGTAATCCCAACAGCTGACCAAGGCCAAAGTGAAGCAATGGCAGGAAGCACCCACTCTGTCTCAGTCCTGGGGAGACAGCACAAGGGACGCAATCTTGAGCAAGGTCCCTTGTGCCATCAGGATGGCAAGGACAACCAAAGGAGAAACAGTCACTCTAACCCATTTAACTGCCTAGCACACTGGCAGCGGCTCTCAAAAGTTGTTTTTACGTTCACGACAATGTCCTTTCCTTGGTCCCCCCAGTTGGGGGGGTGGGGGGTAGGGGGACCTGTGATGGCAACACCAAGCAAGACTTCCCTGTTTCCCGAAAGTAAGACATCCCCCGAAAATAAGACCTCCCAAAAAAATAAGGCCCCCTGAAGCTACCGTAACTCTGGACTCTGGAGCGTAGCGGTGGGTGCCGCCCTGCAGCTCATTGTTGGCCACAGCGCATGCGGAGCAGACAGGAAGTGCGAGGTCTCTTTTAATAAATAAAACAATAAACAATAAATGCATACCATATTCTTCTTCAGGGAAAAATACGACATCCCCTGAAAATAAGACCTAGTGCATGTTTGGGAGCAAAAGTTAAGACACTGTCTTATTTTCGGGGAAACAGGGTAGTAGCATCTTCATAGCCCAAACCAGAAAAACAAGGACTTTGTGCCCTGTTGCAGAGCGTGAAGTCAGCAGTATTCGGTGTGTTTACAAGGTCACAGTGGCCTCTGGGCTAGGAGAATGGTCAGGTACAAAGCTTTCTTTATGAGAAAAAAAGGGCCAAAGTAGAGCTTCAGAAACACTACTGTGAAATGCATCACCAGCCTAGATGCTAGGAAGCAATAGGCTCTTAATATGAAGCCCCGGATAAAGGTCTCCCCTAAAGCTTGGCTCAAGAAATGGCTTTGTATTTGGAATTCACTGGTTTAGAATTTTAAACTGGGCTCCCATGGCTGACCCAGGGCTCATAGTGTACAGTCAAGGATCCAGGGTGCTGGCTCCTTTTGGAAGCTCATGCACACCAGGAGGGGAAGCCAGCCTCAGGCAGCAGTCACTCACCTAAACTATCGGGGCTGTCGATGGAGAAGCACATCAGTATAACATCAGTGTCCGGGTAGGAGAGGGGCCTCAGACGGTCATAATCTTCCTGCCCAGCTGTATCCCACAATGCCAGCTCCACCTGTGATGAGAAAAACACACAACCCCCAAGAGGGTAAGATTAACCCTGCTTTCCTACATGAGGCTTACAACAGTGCGTTCAAGTGGCAGATTGTCCCCAAGGGAAGAGTATTTGAATTCACTAAGTCTAAAGGTGAGTGGTATGCTTTCAAACTTTTTGCTTTAAGTTTCTTGAAATTGTGTATTTTATAAATCAGTATTAGAACTAACCACACATTGGCACAATTCAAAAGATGAAGTCAAAAGTAATTTGGTAGCTTGCAAGAAGTATTTAGTTATAAGTAACATTCCACTTAGGAGGGGGGGGGGGGAGAAGAATGGAGAAATCAAATCAAGTAACGTTCTACCAGGTGAGTGCACAATAGGCAAAACAGGCGGAGTAACTTTTCCCACCACCACAATTCAACCCTCTCCTCATTTTGCCCTTGACTCCAACGTGGAAACATAAAGACGAGCCTGCGTGGGCCAGTGGGCAGGAAAGGACATATTTGTCAGATGTTAGGGAAAGTGTTCACTAACTAACAGGTAAGGTGTCTGGCTCTGCCTTTACTGTAAGTGAGCGAGCGAGGGAAAAGCAGCAGGTGCAATGGCAGGATGGACAGGTAGGAGATGATTCCCACATGGTGATGGTAGGCCAAGCTGATGCCTGGGCGCTGGACTCTGGTGCCCGGGCTCGCCTGCTTGCCAGCACCACAGCCAGCTCTCCTACCTCCTTTATAACCAGATGGAAGGAAGGCCGGTGCTCAGAAGCCTTTCAGAGCGCGCTGATGCCTGTAACACCTTTCTCCTAGTACTGTCACAGCCCCAATGTCCGCTTCTAAATACAGTATCTTCCTTTGAGTTGATGGCTAATCATCCCCTCTACCTTCAACCTCCGTAAGTGTCAATGGCTCTCTGTCACGCACACCATCAGATTGGTGTATCTGTGATCCCAAATCCTCATAATTGGTCTTCCCTCAGGATAGTAAAGTTCAGTCACCCCCATCAACCCCACTTCCCCTTTATGGGTTTTTGAGCGCTCAAACGCACCTACCCTGACTAGTTCCTGATAAAAACTGCGAAGGCGTAGGGGTTGTCTCATGTCAGAACAGGCACTTCCACTTTTGGCAGGCCTAGCCCTGAGAGCATGACCATCTCAAGGCTTGCATGGCTTTTTAAGGCTCGGTGAGCACATTCTGTTACATAAACATTCCCAGGCAATGCCCCCTCCCACCCTGGTGGCTTCCAAGTCGCCCTTAAACAGCAAGCAGTCAGCCTGTTAACACCTCTTCCAAATCAAGCACCTTCATTTCAGAGGTTCTTTACTGAGGTGATAGGCTCTCCATCTTGCCAAGGTCAAGCATGTACTGTTCTTTAACATTTTAAGTCCTTAAATTTATTACAGATGCTGGACCGTTCCTAGACTCCCAGGCTTCAAAATGAGGGTAAAAAATAACATGTGAGGAGGTACTGGCTCTACCGCCTCCAACAGATTAACAGATGGGAAAAGACCTCCCCGGTTGAGGGTCACACAGTCTCTTGTCACCAAACTCAGGAGAGAAAGGGGTTAGAAACACCGATTTGTCTCTGCCTCCCAGAGGCCAGGAGCTGTCTTTGTGCATGGTGTGGCAATAAAAGTCAGAGAAGAGGCCGGTGATGTGACACCAGATCTCAATACATTTCTGCGCATTTTGCTACATCTAGACCTTGTCTTCACAAACCCAGTCTTCCCATCAGCCACAGAAATACCCGTATCCACACATCCACCAAGAGAACCGGCTGAGTCCAACTTATAATGTGCTTTGGTGCTTCCAAATATGGCAGTTATTTCATAGCACATTTGAAATGGTTTACGCCACTTTATAAATGAAGTCTCAAAGGTTGGGCAGCTTACCTATGATCACAGCCCTACAAGGGTCTCTGGTCCTCTGAGCAGTTGGCCTGATGCATTTTCCACATACAGTCCCAGGGGTATGGCAGGTTAGGTAAGAGTGAGAGAAAGGGGAAGGGTCAAGGAAGCCACTGTTGTCAGGTGCCAGCAGTGTAGGAGAGGCGTGCTTAAATGCTCAACAGGACTACTAAAAGCAAGTTTACAAGAGTCCTTTGTTTGAGGCTTATGTTTAGGCAACTTATTTCCAAAAGGAATAATGTCCTTTTTCCTTAAGAGATATTCAGGAGGCCAGGCAAAACACCATTATGACAACAGTAAGGAGAGGCTAATGAAAATGGACCCCAATTCCAGAAGTGTCTTCACCTGAGTCTTGCCACTCACTGGGCTCTGAGAACAGATCTGGGAAAACACTACACTCACTCTCACAACAGGAAATCGGAGCAACCATGATAGCCTGTTTGATGTTAGTCAAAGAACAGGTTAAAAAAGCCAAATGACAGACAGACATATGCACACTCATGTTCATTGCAGCAAAAAGATGGACACCACATCAATGCCTGTCAGCAGAACAATGGCTACGCTTTGGCACATACACACGATGGAGCACAGCATGCACCGATAGAACACGATGGCAAAAACCATGATGCACACTTCATGGAGTGGATGTACCTGGATAACATTATTCAGGGTGAATTAAGCAATCAAAAAAAGGACAATTTTATGACACCACACAATTTTATAAAACCCAAACCAACTCCAAGATAAAGACTTATATACCAGAGGAAACAGACTTTGGATGGTCGGGTAAGGGAGGGAGGATATAGCAGTAGGACAGACTGTTGGCAGGTGTGAAGTTGGGTGGAACCGCATGACAGTGGTCCACAAGAGGGAGAAGAGAAGTGTGAAGGTTCAACTATTGTGGGCTTTGGTGAGTAGTTTAAACTGCTGAATACAAAGTGATGATCGGAAATGAAGCCCCACCTGACAATAAAATATGCCTACAAAAATTTTTGTTTAATGAGTGAAAATATGGTTTAAATGGCCTTACTGCTGATGTTAGATCAGTGCAACCCTTTGATGGAACATTTTCAGGGAGGACCTCTGACCTTGTAATCAAAGACCAGAGCATTTCAGAAAATACTGACAGAATTTTAAAAAATATATAAATAAACGACGAAAATAAAAGAGGAACATTTTAGCTTTACTCAATTGGCAGGAAATTAAAATTCAAATACAAGTCAAGCTGAGAAGAACATGTATGCTAAGGCTGCTGTTCCATGCAAAACAAATAAGAATGTGGACGAAGTCTGAACAATAATAAAGGTGAGCTAAAATGTCAGGTAAGAATGGGCTCCCCCCTTATCAGAATTTTGCCATCGCTAAGTGTGCACCGAAAAGACAAAAGGGCCTGCCTCTTCACAGACTGTGAAAAACTTAACATGCAGCATGGTACCAGTTGCCATGCATATGCTTACCTGCTTTCCGTCCACTTCAATATCTGCCACATAGTTCTCAAACACGGTGGGCACGTACACCTCGGGGAACTGATCCTTGCTGAACACTATGAGCAAGCAGGTCTTGCCACAAGCTCCGTCACCAACAATCACCAGTTTCTTCCTGATGGCAGCCATCACTGAAACAGAAGACAAAGGTATTACCTGGGAAATATGAAAGTCATCATGGCACCAGGCTACGTGTGACATGTACTTTTCAGACCCTGGAGCACACGCTCATCCTCATCTGGATACACCTTTTCACTCGGAACCCAAAGGCCAGTATCTGGTGTTCCTTTGCTTCTGGAAATAAAGATGATTTGTTCTTGCAACTGCTGCCCTGGCAACTCATGCAAAGCTAGACGTAACAGGTGGCAGCAAGAGCCAGAGAGAAGACTCTGAAACAGGTGGAACATTAACATCTTCAACAAAAAATGTAAATGTAATTAACTGAGGATAACAACAGATCTATCTCATCAGAGGATACACATGGCACTGAATTTTATGGCCCCCTTGAATGCTTGGTTACCAAGTGAATGGTGGGTAGTTTGAATCCACCCAAAAGTGCCCCAGAAGAAAAGCCTGATGACTTACTTCTTAAAAGTCACACTTAATCCAGTATGCAGCTCTACTCTGAAGCACACAGGACCACCAAGAATCTAAAAGGACTTGTCAGTAATTGGTTTTAAGATTCTTTCACAAGCAGAGCTTGAAGAACATATCTAATGATTGTCTCATTTCTAGCTTGTTATTTTTTAAAATCTGAAACACATGGAGATAGATCATTTTACATCCCAAGATACCCTTTTATCCCCTCATTTCCCCTCTGGCCTAACAAATCTTTAAATTAAATTTTTTAGTTACATATAAAACTCAAGGTCAAATATTCAATGCCGCCATCAGAAAAGTATGTAAGACCAGAGGTTAGCTGGTCTTTAGCTGCAGCCATAGTTCACACTAAAGCAGATAGACAAGATGACACATCACTTCCTAGACATTTCACAGAGAAGTCTGAGAAAACTATCAAGTGGACACAAAGTATCATCTTTAGAAGAACCAAATTCTTGAAAAGTATGTGCTATACACCTACATATCAACTATTTCAAACGTTAATAGTCAAAGAATCTACTACAAGAATATTTTGGACACCAACAACATACACACACAGCAGCCACAAAGGCTGAGGTGTGAGGCAAGCAGTATGACAGCTCAGGCTGTGTGTCAATTGGGCCAAAGCAAGCTGATGCTCAGTAGTCTGATGTAAACGTTAGCTGTGTACGGAGGTGGTGGTCATCCACTATTTTGTGACATGGTGTGGTCAGCCTCCACTTTTCCTCATCACACTAATTTCCCATTATAACCTTGCCTTTGGAACAAAAACCAGTAAGTAAGTATGTAGGTAGTAACAAGATGTAGAGATGCTCCAAGAAGTGTGAGGTACTCCCTGCATCAAACATAAATGCAGACTTAAGCCACTAGAGAAAACTCCATGAACCCTACAGAGCAGTTACAAGGTCATTATGCAATGAAATCAACTCAAATACACTGTTGTTGTTAGTGTTATAAAAAAAAAAGTCCTTGAAACCAGCAGTCGGTTCTCTGGGGAGGGAAAGAAATCCACAAAACTGACAAGCCTTTTACAGTTAGAAGACTCAAATGAGTACTCTGAATAATTGGTGTGCCAGTAAATTAGACAATTTAAATGAAGTGGAAAAATTCCTAGAAAAACATTATAGTAACTACTAAAATAACTCAAGAACTAGAATATATGAGTAGGCCTACAATAAGAAGCTAAATGAACAATAAAAACACCCTCCAAGTAGTACTGAGATGGACACTGGGCCTCCACTCAAGTACTCCCTTAATGCAAGAACACTTTGGTCTATTAAACCGGCACTCTTATGATGCTCACCTTGCCGACACAATCTCTGAAGACAAAGTGGGTGTATAAGCAAATGTGGTGAAGAAAGCTGATGGTGCCCGGCTATCAAAAGATAAAGGCTTGAAGGTGAACAAGCAGACATCTAGCTGAGAAGCAACAAAGTCCACATGGAAGCAGCACACCAGCCTGTGTGATTACGAGGTGTCGATGAGAATAGGTATCAGGTATCAAAGAACAAAAATCATATCATTGAGAATGAGAGGCGGAGTGGGGACCCAAAGCCCATCTGTAGACAATTGGACATCCCCATACAGAAGGGTCATGAAGAGATAAGCAGTACAGCACCGATTAAACAATACAACATTCCAGAGACACAGTGTGGGAATTGCACCCAATCTGATCCCGCCACACTGAGGCAAAGCACTGGGGGAG